ATATAACCTTTTATCAGATATTTGACAAATATCTTCTCCCATTCAGTAGGCTTCCTTTTTGTTTTATTGATGGTTTCCTTTGTTGTGAAAAAACTTTTAAGTTTGATGTAGTCCCATATGTTCATTTTTTCTTTTACTTCCCTTGCCCATGGAGATGTATCAGTAAAAATATTGCTCAGGATAATGTCTGCAAATTTACTCCCTGTATTTTCTTCTAGGAGTTTTATGGTTTCAGGTCTTATCTTTAAGTCTTTAATCCATTTTTAATTTGTTCTTTTATATGGCATAATGAGGTGCAGTTTCATTTTTTTGCATGTGTCAGTCCAATTTTCCCAGCACCATTTATTAAATAGACTATCTTTACCCCAATGTAAATTTTTGCTTCCATTGTTATAGACTAATTGTCCATGTATGCATGGTTTTATTTCTGGGCTCTTTATTCTGTTCCATTGTGCCTGACCTATGTATTCTGATCTATGTGCCTGTTTTTATGCCAGTACCATACTGTTTTGATTACTGTAGCCTTGTAGTATATTTTGATGCCTGGTGGCATGATACCCCCGACTTTGTTCTTATTTCTCAGGATTGTCTTGGCTATTCGGGGTCTTTTATGGTGCCATATAAATTTTAGGATTATATTTTCTATTTCTGTGAAAAATGCCCTTGGTAGTTTGATAGGAATTGCCTTGAATCTATATATCGCTTTAGGCATAATGGACATTTTAACTATATTAATTCTTCCTATCCATGAGCATGGTAGGTGTTTTCATTTATTTGTATCTTCTTTTATTTCTTTCTTCAGTGTCTTATAATTTTCTGAGTACAGGTCTTTTCTTCTTTGGTTAAATTTATTCCTAAGCATGTTATATTTCTTGAAGCAATTGTAAATGGGACTATTTTCTTAATTTCTCCTTCCAATAGTTTATTATTGGTATATACAAATGCAACTGATTTCTGTATATCGATTTTGTATCCTGCTACCTTACTGACTTTCTCCATCAGCCACAATAGTTTTTTGATAGAGTCTTTGCGGTTCTCTCTATATAGTATCATGTCATCTGAATATAATGACAAGTTTACTTCCTTCTTACCAATCTGGATGCCTTTTATTTCGTTTTCTTGTCTGATTGCTGTGTCTAAAACTTCCAGATCTATGTTGAATAAAAGTGAAGAAAGTGGACAGCCTTGTCTTGTTCCTGATCTTAGGGGGAATAGTTTTAGCTTTCCCCATTGAGTATGATGTTTACTGTGGATTTATCATATATGGCCTTTATTATGTTGAGATATGATCCCTGTGTTCACACTTTGCTAAGAGTTTTTATCATAAATGGCTGCTGTATTTTGTCACATGCTTTTTCTACATCTATTGATATGACCATGTGCTTTTTATTTTTCATGTTGTTAATGTGGTGTATCACATTAATTGATTTGCAGATGTTGAACCAACTGCGTGCTGAGGATGAAACCCACTTGATCATGATGTGTGATCTTCTTACTATATTGCTGAATTCTGTTTGCTAAAATTTTGTTGATGATTTTTGCATCCATGTTCATCAGGAATATCATCCTGTAATTTTCTTTTTTTGTACTGTCTTTGTCTGGTTTAGGAATCAGGGTGATAGTGGCTTCATAGAAAGAGTTTGGGAGCCTTCCCTCCTTCTGGATTTTTTGGAATAGTTTGAGAAGAATAGGTGATAATTATTTTTTGAATGTTTGGTAAAATTCACTTGTGAAGCCATCTGGTCCAGGGCTTTTGTTTGTAGGGAGCTTGTTGATTACTGCTTCAATTTCCTTGGTAGTAATTAGTCTCTTCAGGTTTTCTGTTTCTTTTTAAATTAACTTTGGGAGGTTGTATGCTTCTAGAAAATTATCCATTTCTTCCCGATTGTTAAATTTGTTGGCATATAGTAGCTCATAGTAATTTCTTAAAATTTTTTGTATTTTTGTGGTGTCTCTTGTCACTTCACCTCTTTCATTCCTGATTTTACTAATTTGAGTCATCTCTCTTTTATTTTTGATGAGTCCGGGTAGAGGTTTGTCAATTTTGTTTATCTTCTCACAAAACCAGCTCTTGGTTTCATTGATCTTTTTTATTGTTTTTCTGGTTTTTATTTCGTTTATTTCCGCTCTGGTCTTTATTATCTCTTTTTTTGTACTCCTTTTGGGCTTCTTTTGCTGTTCTTTTTCCAGTTCCCTGAGGTGAAAGGATAACCTGTTGATTTGAGGTTATTCTTGCTGCTTTACGTAGGCCTGCACTGGTATGAACTTCCCTCTTGGGACTGCTTTCGCTGCATCCCATAGATTTGGGGTTGTGGTGTTTTCA